AATAAAGTCAATGTTCTGTCGGAAAACCTAAATTTTCTAAAAAGGTGTCTACCAATTTAGTCAGATTTTTCAAATTAACTTCCGAGATTTTCTGTACGCCCATGATCGCATCCCAATGCGCTGTCGCACAACAACGAACATTTGTTTAGCGTTTAACAATTAGATCATAAGCAATTTGATAATTATCGCTATTTATTGACAAATTACGGATCAAACCAAGTTGAGTCCCCTCTAAACACCCTTTTAAATACATAAACTTTTCTACGCCTATTAGGCCTGCGTTATTATGTACAACCGAATTATATAAGTCTAAAGACGGACTGAACTCCTTAAAATCACCCTTAAATTTAGGCAGCTCTATTTTAGGGAAGCGAATGTTAGATTATTGAACTACTGCCGATCTAAACGGTTCTGGAGTGTCAGATTGCGTCTCAAATAATTCCGCACTAAACAGTTTTATTCTATAAAATTGTTCCAAAAATAATTCCCGAATAATCTATCAAGTCCTCGTAAACACTTTGTCTCAGGACCGGCAACTTCATGTAGAGTCGTACGTTGCCATGTTATCACATCCACTGGTAACTTTAACATCTTAATATATAAGATCAAATAATGTAAACTAAATTTAAACCTGTAACTTTTAACAGGTTTTTACCCAGATATTTAGTGGCTCAAAACATGTACACCTAGACAATGATGATGGTATATGGATTCCGAAAACGTTTTGTTGTTGTGGTATAGTCCGATTGGGTTTTTAAATTATATACCTTCTATAAAGGATTTTAATAAATTTTTTGACACAATGAACTATTTACGAAGATTAATAATAATTAACTTAACATCAACTATATTTCCTTCGATAGTCCTGGCGAGATGAATGAAGTTTAACTCATGTGTGCAAATAATCATCAAATTGTAAATAGTTGCAATAAACAATCAAAACAACGTATATATTCAGGTAAAACTACGTAAGACTTACCGGTCATTGAAGCTAATTACCATGGTTTACACTACTTTATGAAACAACGAACAAAACAAATTTAATATGGGTGCATTGGTTCACTGTCGAGTTGCGTCTGTCTCTCTTATCGACTCACGCTCTTGTGGTTAGCGAGATGCATTCCCCACGCGGTACTTTAGGGATCGTAGGGATACAGGGAGGACAAATGTATCGATTAATTTACACAACCATGTTTGAATTTAAACATAGGGAGAAACTTGAAAATAAGGAGTAGTCATCAGCAATATTACGCATTTTTTTAAATATTCTAAACACAGACAGGATTAATAATATGGGAACTTGAAAAACGGCGTGACTTGGTACAGTTCTGTCAAAAGTTTTAAGCTTTAGGAAAATAGAGTGTTATAACTTGTGACATAGTAGACATCAGTAGAATGATTCGTTACCGGTCGGAACATGGTCTTTTGTTTTTAAACTACCTCAACATAGCGTAAGCGTAATATGTTTAACAACAAATCTGTGGCTTGGAATGAAAAGGGCGGGTGTCACAAAACGTAAACTCGAGTAATCGGCCATTGTTTATATTTGGCCGCATATTAACCACATTTGCTTGTAGTTTATAAGCTTACTACTTAATACAGCACCATCAATGTATTTGTAAAAGATAATATTGGAATATCCCTATGTTTGAAACAATTTGTATGCTAGAAATATTATAAATAATATAAAATAAAGGGACAACCGCCTTTTTTAATGAACTGGTGTACAATTAATTCTTATGGACATCCGACTTTATAAATAAATAATCCTCTTACAAAATGAACAATTTTATTTTCAAGGTATAACAAAACATAGATTAATAATTTTATTTAGTTTATAAAAGATTTTATTTTCGGTCGTCTTCATCAGAATCTAGATTTGTATAATGTGGGAGGTTTATATAATAATCTTTATGCTGTTCGTCCACCCATTGTAGAAGAACCATAAGATTGTCGTATTTCTTTTTATTAATGGGAATTAAACTATTTACCCTTATTGGCTTTAAACAATTATTCGAGAAACCTAAGTTCAGTCTTTTGTTTCTTTTAAAATCTACTTCTTTAAAGGCTGCATGAAATTCCGTTTTATATAGTAATTTACCAGGTTTATCTGATCGTACTTGCAAATGAACAATATTAGAACTCAAAAAACGGTTCTCCATCTGTGTTTACTTTACGAACAATTAATTTTCCATGAACAGAATATAAATTAGCCCAGTTGAAAAATTCATTTTGGGACATTTCGTGTACTTCCAATGGCTTATTACTGTATTGGCAAGTACGTATAAACTGTGCCCATTCTCTAGGAGTTTGAATGGACATTGTAGACAGTCTTTTCTTTTTCTTCTCAATTACAGCATGAACTGCATCTACTTCCATATGTGTATGGCCTGTCAATAAAAATTTGTGGTTTATTACAAGATGAGGAAATTTTTGAACCACGTACAAATACATGGCAAACAACATTGTATTTCTGTTTTGCCCAGCGCAGTTGTCAGACCAAAGAGTAATTTCTTTTATATTATTTGGGAGAGTTTGAATCCACTTAAATAAACACGATGCTATTTGATTCCCACCTCTCTCAGATATTGTCTCATTCCATATCATACAATGATTTTCTCCAGCAGTGTTGTCGTGAATAGTAAATTAAACGTCCATAGCTGTCGAAGATAGAATGATTTTGCATTGGTTAATAATGGGGTCGGTAAACATTGTTGTAAATCAATCATTACAACCCGTTCGTTTGAGCCTTCCTTCTTGGCTCTCTCTTTATCTACTCTCTTTAGACCATAGCGAGTTTCTGCATCATCTAAATGTATTTTTTTAGCATTTTCGATCGTTTTTCTTAGATTCTCATCATTTTCGTTTTGTAAACTACATGTAATTTTATCACACATATCACATGTATCCAAGTTCGGTAGTTTAAAACTCAGATTAAATTCAGTGCAGAATATGAATCTGTACATACTAGCTGTTACAATTTTTTCTTTGGGTATGAGTTCTTCATTACACCAATCAGTGTATAATTTGTACATTACAGCAATGTTTAATTCAGGACTCAAATATTGTCTCTTAGAATGGCTACGACTGTAATGACTTTCTACTCTTGGAAATAGATTAATATGTTCCATAACAGTGCGCTTCTTTTCTTCATCTAATTTTCGTGCTGATATTGGTTCACCAGGACTTGAAATTAAACCTCCTGGCGATTGCAGTTTCTTTATTACTGCTCCACGGACAACCTTTTCAGATATTGATAATGTATTCAAAAACATAACTTTACATATTTCAATATTTTTGTTATTTATATTGAAAACATAGCTGTAAGTAAAGTTTCTCCTACCTAACTGACTGCCATTTCTGGATCTTTGTCTATCTTTTGGACGAATATTAACACTTTGTGCCAAAAATTGATGTCTTTGTTCCCAACTATAAGTTTTTTTCCAAAACGTTTGAAATATTTGAAATCGTTCATTTGCATCAAGTTTAGTATGGCATAATTTTCTGCAATTGCAAGGTATACCCATCACTTTAGCAGCTTTTACGTTTTCTTTAAATCCAACATATTCTTCTCCTTTTAGTCTTTTTGCCTTTGCAATGTTTGTTTTCCATAACTTAGGGTTTGATTTTCGTTTCCTTGTCGTTTTTTCTCCTATTTTGAGAATCAATCTCTTCTTGTTCTGTATCGTTACCAGAAACTGGGCCATCATTTTTATGTTCAATTTTTTCTGTCCCTTCTTCACTGTCATTTTCTGTATCATTGGCTAAATCTAAGGTTGGATCGTAACTTAGATCATTCATATCTAAATCATTAGTATCACCTAAAAAAAAATTAGTTTAGTTCTCTAGTGCATAGATACAAGGTTTACTAAGCTCATCTTACCTTTAGAACTTCGCATGGTGTTCACATCTCCATCATCATTTCCATGTAAAACCTGCAATCTATTAGTTTCTCCCAGAGATTCACCTGCATGAATCATACCATTACCAACATACGTATTAGGAGTGATAAGATTTATATCTTCTGTAACTAAAATAATACAAATATATAAGTTTTAAGTGGACATACAAAATGAAAATGTAAATTTTACCACTACTGGGTACCTCTTGTTCTAGATTATTTAGAGAAATTTCAGCATTACTTGCGGAATAAACAACTTCACTGATGTTCTCTAAAATCAAAGCATTTTTTCGTAGTATAGAGTAAAATCAATTTAAAAACTAAATCTTACCTATAGGAGTTCCATGTGATTCTAATATAACATTAGGAGCAACAAAAGAATCCGCAAACTTACATTCTAGTTGTATGTTTTCATTATTTGCTGCAAGGAAAGAATTTGGAATAGTACATCATTACTAATCATATTATATGTGTATCTTTATAATGCAGGTATGTACTTACAAAGATAAGTTAAATTTTCTTTATCATCTTCTTGATTAGTGCACTGTTTTGCCAATAGTAATATTTTCTTTCCCCTATTCATCTGTATAAATAAGTATTTCACAATAAAGAATACTCTATAAACGCCAAAGAAACAAGGCACACTAATATATTAATTGAGGTTAGGTTTTGAGAATGTCAGTTGGACTACCGCCTTTTTCAAACTGCACGTGCTGAAGCATAATAATCTTATGTCCATTATATTGCAAGAAAGGGCGGGTGTCCCATATACGACCTTTTTACGTAAAAAGGAGTATTTACTTACGCCTTTTTGTTTTGCAAAAGTTAAAAACCGTAAAAGATATGGACATCTGACTTTTTTTAAATGAAACTATCTCATATGCTTACTATAGAAATGATATGAACCTAAAATACAGAAAAATGGACATCCGCCCTTTTTATTCCAAGCCACAGAAATATAGAAATTATAATTTAATATTTTCTTTTCGGTGATTTTGCTAGTCTTGTATTATAAGTAATCGTAAGAAGGAAAAATATTAGAAAGCAAATGCGATTTTAATGTGTGTATATTTTATTTCTTAAGTGGCAATTATTTTAGTTTTAGCATTAGACGCAATGGATTCTTCAGGAGAGCAACACTTAGAAATAGATCATAATGTATATAAGAGAAGATTAGATCTGGAAGGAAAGCCTATAGCTGATCCTAATAAAATTAATATTACTATATCCAAAAACACAACGGTAAGTTTTAACAGTTTATTACCTCTCCCAATAAGAACATGGCATCCCTGGGAGGACAGAAAACGATATGATTAAATAATTTTCGTTCGTGGCCATCAAAGCAGATGGCACCGCTTTACGCTAACCACTAAAGTGGGAAATATTCAGGATACATTCGTTAGATTTTCCGAGTTTGAATTTGTATCAGCCCGAGTGTCTGGTGCAGTACGAAATTAAGTCCTGAAATTAAGTCATAACACTTTATTGATACCGATTCGAACTTAGAAAGTTTAAAGAATTTGTTTACTTACGGAAAGATGGTGTTGACCATCCATCTTCATACAGGTCACAAATTAATTTTGAAAACTCTAAAACCATAGCCCCCATCCGCTTCTATAAATCAAGAAGCCATAGAAATTGAAAAAAGATCAAATTGTCTCAATAAAAGAGATAATGGCATACGGTTACGTTCGACTTGGAGACTTCTCATAAAGAAAATATCGTCCGCTCCAGCTGTCAATCAAAATCCTACTGTCAGAAATGTTCGTTCTAACCCTCTCGCCAATCCCCGCACCAATACCCACGCTAATCCCAACATCCCAGGTATTCCCAGTAACAGTAATGCATTGGTTAGTGATGTAGTGTCTGTGGGCTCGGGAGAGTGAGGCCTCGGAAAAACTGAAGAAGACATCAAAGAGGATGTCGAAAGCTCGGGGCAATGATAATCGACGCGGTTCAACCCGAAAGACTTTTGAGTTTAATATTAATTACCGTCACAGTATTAATCTTAGCTATAGGTTTAACTGTACTAACCGCGTAAACCATTCGGAACGTTTTATTCGCATCTACAGGGAGGAATTTTACCAGCTCACTAAATCATATAGCAAACTGCTGCCACGTAAGAATCGTATTCTTTGTGATTTAACATTTCTTAAAGCCTGTCGAGACTATAAAGTCATTCTCAAATTTCTAAAACTCGAAACACCATACTTCTTATATCTCCCAAATTCTTAGAAAGACCAGTTTTTAAACAATACTTTATCTCACCGTCAGACATTCTAGTAAGTCCGGTTTTTCGTTTGCATGGCTAACGACACCAGTCGCTTCGTCTGAAGGGAGAAGACATGTAATTGAACCAGATTCTTTAAAAACATTTTAATATCGTATTTGCACAATGTAATGCAATCGTTTATTTGTTTTCATATTTATCTAAAGCCCTTCCAGTTTTTTTTCAGGACCATAGTTTTAATTTTACACATTTATGTTTTGTGTTTGTAATTTAAATTTCATAAATGATCTCTAGATCGTTCCAATCTACAGAGGAATTTGACAGAATTAAGAATATCTTTTTTTACAGCAGCCCAATGCTAACAAAACAGAGTGTGGAAGCTGTTATGGTGCGGCAGATCGTTGCTGCAACACATGTGAGGAAGTAAAAGAAGCCTACCGTGAACGTAAATGGGCTTTGGATAATATTGAAACCATATCTCAATGCAAGGATGAAAAATATAGTGAAAAATTAAAGACTGCGTTTACACAAGGCTGCCAAATTTATGGTAGCCTAATCGTAAATAGAGTGAGCGGCAGTTTCCATATAGCACCAGGAGAAAGTTTTAGTGTTAGTCATTTGCATGTTCATGACGTTCAGCCGTTTTCGTCTAGTGAATTTAACACATCACACAGAATAAGGCATTTATCATTTGGCGATAGGATAGAAAGTCATACACACAATCCTCTTAAAGATATAGAAGTTTTTGCAAGTGAAGGTAAGTTTATTTGTTATAAATTCTCTAAGAGAAAACAAAATTTATGATGAACGTTGTAATAATATACACTTGTCGTGTCAAGAAAACTATAAATTAATTACTATTAAACTGGGAATAAGCCACAATTAAAGATAAAAATACGTTTATTGACGTTTCAATTTTCACTTCGGAAATCGTTCTCAAAATACAAACAGTAAATTAAGCAAATTTTGTTTTTTGTTACATAGTGAAAAATTCTTCTATAATTTAATTTTATCTGACTCATTTATATTGACAATTCAGACATACATTATGCATTTTAAAGTAGACGACTTTAAAATGATATTGCCAATATTGTTGAGTTGCGCTCCTGGGACGACTTTACTTATAAGATAGTTCATTCGATTACATGAAATCAACTTTAACTTGAGAATATCCGTCAGAAAAAAAATCATAGCATGTAATTCGTCTTTAAAAAGACAAACACATGACATGATGCCAGTAAAATTCTCCTGTTAGTGATTCCATAGTAAATTATGAGGGAAAAACCAGGGAACAAACCTCATAATACTATCCCGACATTGTATGTATTTGTTCCTGAATTTAGTTTACCTTCAACAAACATCAAAATTCTGATTTTATATGTTACGTTATTTAAAAAACATAAATGATGTATATGTCCTCTATATGTTACTGACTTACTAATACTGGTATTTTCTTATTAATAACTTCCTATTTCTATATTGGTAACCAGATCCTACTACATTCTGCCGAGGAATTTGCGACACAATTGGCCTCATTTAGCATAATTAGAGCCGCTTCTTTGATTTTTCTTTTTTTACCATCCATTTCTTTTAGGACTACATTTGAATTATTCCATTGAACCCTATGTTCATTATCCCATGCGTGTTTACAGATTTAAGATCTATCAAATTCTCTATTTTTAATATAAGATTGATGTTCACTTGTTCTAAACATTTAATGGCCTTGATGATTCACCTAAATAAAACTGATCGCATTCACAAGGTATTTTATAAATGCAATTCAGATGCAATTTAGATTTTTGCACGTTAGGAGTGGCTTCATTCGTATAAATGCTGATTTCGCAATCTCTATTCGCCTGTTTATTTCTACAGTATGATCATTGGTTTCATTGATCAAAGTTCCCAAGTACTGATATTTTTTACTTGTTCTTTCACGTTACCATTGATTGTCAATAGGTGATGTATATTTTGTGGTCTTTTTGTAATTAGCATGTACTTCGTTTTTTTTAGCGTTTATAGTAATTCCCATCTCAGCATTATTCATACTTAAGCTTTCGATAAGATATTGTAGATCTTCTATACTCGTTGCTATGATCACAGTGTCGTCTGCATAACGTAAGTTGTTAATTAATTTTCCGTTAACGGATAGCTTTGATATTATTGAGCATGTTTTGGAAAATTTCTTCAGAATATAAGTTAAACAAAAGTGGCGATAAAACACATCCCTGTCTAACTCCTCTACAGATCTTAATTTCTTGTGAATGTTGCCCATTATTTTGATTGCAATATAATGTTTGCACTATATTTATGATTTTACTGTCAATGGAAAGCTTTTTCGTAGTCAACAAAGCACAAGTGTAGACCAACGTTTACATCCCGACATCGCTGAATCAATATGTTGATGACAAATAGTCCTTCTCGAGTAGCCATTCCATTTCGGAACCCGAACTGCGTCTCGTTAATATACTCCTCTAGCCTTTCGTATATTCTCTTATGTACCTATTACTTTCTGCAGTACTTTTAAAATATGACTCATGAGGCTCAGTGTTCGATAATCAGAACACTCGTTTGCTGCTTGTTTTTTTAGGGATGGTTATAAATGCTGACTTCAGCCACTCTTGTAGTATTATTCTCGGATCGTACACCGTGTTGAATAAATCATCTTCTAAGTTATCCTCTTCCACTAGTTTTAACAGTTCTACTGGTATTTTATCTAATCCAGCTGCCTTATTGTCTGTAGATCCTCTAAAGAATTTAATTATCTAAAGGATTTAATTCTTGTATTTTCTGCATTTCAACTCTTTCATCTTGGAAAAGTTATCTAACGTACTCCTCCCATCATCTTAATTTCTCTGGTAAATCTGTTATTAGTACTCCTTTTTTGTCTTTTATGTGTCCTTGTTTTCCAGTCACTTTTCTTATTGTCCATTCCAGTCACTTTTCTTATTTTTTTTTATGCATTTCTCATTTCATATTTTGTTTCTAGTTCTTCTATCTCTTTACATTGTTTCATCCTTTTCTTTCCTTAGCTGTTTTGATTTGTTCCTTAATTATTCGTTATATTTCTTTATACTTCTGTAGATCCTTTACTTTATATTTCCTTCTTTTTCCCATCTGTAATAGTATTTATTCTGTCATCCACTGTTTTTTAGCCTCTGACCTATGTTGTATCGAACTTTCTTGAGCTGGTTTCAGTAATGTACATCCATAATTTTTTGTTGTCAATTAGTGTTTTTTGCATATAAACATTCACATTATTTTTTAATTCGTTTTTTAGCATTCTTACATTAATTTTTGTTTGTTGTTTTCTGAGCTCAATTCTTTTTAATTTTATTTTCACGTCAGCAACTAACGGATTGTGGTCTGAGTTAACATCTGTTCCAGGATAAGTTTTAACTGAGGTTATGGAGTTTTTATATCTGCTATTTACGAGTAAGAAGTCTATCTGGTTTCTGCAATGTGGTTTTCTGTATGTAAAGGAGACGTCCATGTATATAGTCTTCTTTTAGTAAGCTGAAACCAAGTATTGGCAATTACCATATTCTTTTCTTGGCAGAATTCTATGAGCCTTTCTTCTCTCTCGTTTCTAGTTCCTAATCCGAACTGTCCAACCATATTTTCAACTGTACCTACTCAAATTTTTGCATTAGTCTCCTAAAATGTAAAGGCCGTATGACACTATGCATTTTCTTGTTTCATTTCTTATATCGTTTCTGATATAACAAAAAAATGGATAGTGTCATACAAGCGTATAGTTTCTTATATCAGAAACGATGCAAGAATTTGTGTCCGCTGCATTTTCTTATACAAGAAATGCGCCAATTTGTGCGCAAAGCCGCAAAAACTTCTGTCTTCTGTCATATTGAATTGAAAAACAATAAATCACAGGGATTGGATCAAATAGCATCGGAACTACTGAAAGTAGGAGATGTTTTACTAAAAACAATACATAACCGCTCTAAAAAATAGTGATAAGTTTAAAGATTATTTTATATCTCCAAATAAGAGAGTAGAATTTCAAGAGCATGCCATTCAAACACATAATTTAAAAAAAAAACAAATAAATTATTACAACCAAATTATTTATTATTTCTGTCTTCCATTACAGCCTGTTGAATATCTTCAAAAATTGTGGTTTCCAATTTAGATTTAATATTGGGACATTTTATTTCTTTAATTTTTGCACCACAGTATTTAGATCAACAGCATTTGTCCTCAGTCCCCAGTAGCTTGGGGTCCTCAGGTACTGCAGTTCTATTTTTATAGGTGTCAAAATTTCGACCAATCATGTGCCAAATCACATACAATTTCTGGTAAAAGAACTTGCATAGTGTCATACAGGGCAAAAATGTACATGCAAGAAACGATACAAGAAAACATAAATAACTTTCTATATCAGAAACGATATAAGAAATGAAACAAGAAAATGCATAGTGTCATACAGCCTTAAGTAATATCTCTAGATTTTGTTAACTTGATTGTATTGTGCAATTCTGAATAAAACTTTTCGATCTCATCTTCAGTCTTATCAGCTGTGGGAGCATAGACTTGGATCATATTAATATTACAGTTCCGTGCTTAAATTTTTAGCATTATTATTCTTTTTGAGATTTGAATCACACCTAGAACTGATTTTCTAATAGTGTTGCTTATGATGAAAGCTACTCCGTATCGATGATCAGCTTTGTCTCCTCCTGTGTAAAAAATATTGTGGTTATTTATTAATATCTCTCCATTTTCTGACCATTGTACATCGCTAACCCCAAGTATATCTATATTTAGCCTCTCTTTCTCTTTAATAACATTGTGTAGTTTTCCAGGCTGATACATACTTCTTGTATTTCAGGTATCTATTTTTATCTAAGAGGGTAGAGTATTTTTTTTTGTTTTTTGTGCAAGGGTTTAGCATGTTGACGACCGAGGAGGCCTTGCATTCTGATGGTTGTTCTCCCCTGCCGGATTTTGGTCTCGGATTACCATAATCAATAATGTCTCTTGCGCCAATAGTTGTTGCACATGTTGGTTTTGCGGTGTGCTATTGCGTGTTGTTATTGCAGATGATATTGAGTTTTCTTTTGGCCTATCAGGACTGAAGGTGGAAAGCACAGACTTGACTTTTAGTTGGATTTGGTCTTAGTGAATTTTCTTTGTAATAATAGGTCGTCAAATTCAGGACAGCTTCCAATTTTAGTTCCACTTCTTCAAAGCTGTGACGTCTAAGTCGTCTGTGTATATGAAATTTAAGGAAAAGTTCGCCTTAGTTGACCATTGGTGCATAGGTTGAAAATTATAGATGCTAGTTTGCTACACTGAGCCAAGCAATTTTATTGGGTTCGTCAGCGACTTTTTCTCCCGTCAAGACTCACGGAGAATCGTTTATTTTGCAGTAGTATAGAGATTCCACTATTGTGGCTAGTTAGTAGTCTTTAAAAGTGGCATATACTTTCTGCACGAGGTTTGTATGGTTGACATAGTTTCTGAACTTTGGTTTCATAGGTAGGTCAATCAGGGCTGGGCTTGTTATCTTTTTTCTCCAAATCCGTTCTCAATGTGTTCTGTCATTGCTAGAATCTCTTTCATACAGGTGGCAGAGAAACGAGACAGAGCTGTAACTCTTTGTCATTTCTCTGTCTTTCCCAGGTTTTAGTATGTTATTATTCGATTAAATCCAAGATAAAATCTTAAAATTATACAGGCTTACGCACCAACCACTAGCCACTCAGATGAGTAAGTTGCATCAATTTTATGAAGATGTCAGAGCAGCTATACAAACTTCAAAAACGCATTATACAATGATAATTGGAGATTTCAACGCCAAATTGGGATTCAAACAATATTAGGCAGAATCTGCTAGGAAAAACTTTAGATTTGGTGACAGAAATGTGAGAGGTAACAGGCTTCTTACATCAGGAAAATTTCTTTGACAAACACATTGATATTGATTTATAGCTCAGGATGTAAAAGTATTGAATAAATTGTCAACAGGGAGTGACCATAGATTAATTAGAACAAAAACCACTTTTAACATAATAGAAAGAAAAAAATGATTCTCAAAAAAAAAAGAGTGAAAGATGGATGTTCCCAGAATATGTAACACTTTACGAAGAAAACATTGAGACTAGTTTGGCTACACATGACTTAGATAATATCAGCATCAATGAAATGACCAATAATATTATTCAAACAATGAAAGAAGCTGACAAGAAATACTGTCCTCGTGATGAAAACAAAAAATTATGTCAACAAACAAATTCATTACAATTACCTACTTGGTTTTTAAATTTATTTATATTGTTTTCTAATTATTAAAATGAATATTAATTAATATACATATTTTCTAAAAGAAACGCATATTTTTGGTTAAATTAGTGCATATTTTTCACTTTTTTGCAGATTTGTCCAAGTATAGTTATAGTTTGTTAAATTTAAACAGATTAATGGTTTCCCAAAAAAATATATTTTAACGAGATTAGTTTTCTTCATCTAAGGCATTTATAAAATAACAAAATAGCTTTTATGACAATCAATTTGTTCTAAAATCCTGATTATTTTTTATAATAATAACTGCACACTTATGACTTGTTGATTTCCTTTCCGCTCAGACCTGCAATTGCCTTTGATCGGTTAGCGGATAGATTTGGCAATAGAGTCAGAACCCTCAAATCACCAGCTGCAAGATTGCAAACAGATGCCTTTTAAACTTTATTATTTATACTGACATTTTACTATTTACTGTTAAAAACTGTTTTAAAAACTATTTACTTTTTCTTTTTTTCGTTATTGTTAAATATTAGTTTTTAAACATCTTATTGCTTTTAATTGCGTATATTTCATTTGTAATGTAAATTTCAACACTGCCAAACACCAATATTTCATTCTGTCAAACCCATTTGAAGCTATCTTCAATGGGACCAAATGTGAAAATCGTCCGTTTCATGTATCTAACCACTTCCAAGTAGTTGTTTGGAAAAATTTATCTTAAAGAAAAAATAAGTTAACTGGGAAAAAAATTTAATACACCCTTCTACCTAACAGTCAGAAATAAATTCTAAAAATTTATTGTATAAATTAACACTCCGCCAAAAAAAGTATCGCATCTCCTATGAAACTGCAAATTTTGGATTAAAATAATTTAAAACATGAATTGTGTACTGTTGTTTTTTGTTATTTTTTAAGTACATAACAAGTATTAAAAGAAAAATGAAGAATGTACGAAAAATAAAGGTTTTATTTAATTTATTTCATAAATTAGAAGTAAGCGCACAAACAGCATTGAATAATAAAAAATCAAAATCAAAATTAATGATAATTTAGTAAGACGTATTGCCTCTCTAGCTCTTATAACATCTAAACAACGTTGTGGCATACTTCCAATTAATCTTCTTAGATAATCTGGATCGATATTGTCCCATTCTATGGTTAACAACCGTTGCAGGTCCTGAAGATTAGCTGGCGTCACATTACCAGATCTCACCCTTCTGTAAAGATGGTCCCAAACATGTTCTATTGGATTTAAGTCTGGGCTGTGCGCTGGCCAATTCAAAACTTGTAAATTTACCTCTTGAAGGTACTCGGTAACGATTCTTGCGACGTGGTGGGCGTGCATTGTCATGCATTAAAACAAAGTCATTACAATAAATGGGGCGTAAGGAACAACATGCATCTCTAAATGTCTCTAATGTACCTATCAGCAGTTAAGGATCCTCCATCTAGCTGTACCAATTCGGTTTGACCCCTAAGAGATATTCCACCCCAGAGCATAATAGATCCTCCTCCAAAGTTTGTCGCCAATCTTAGATTGCATTGAAAATAACGCTCGCCATCTCGTCTATAAATGGTATTCTTCGATCCGAAGTGTATAAACAAAATCTTGACTCATCCGTAAAGAGTATGTTACCCAGTCGTTGATATTCCAGTTTACGTGCTCTCTTGCAAATGTTAGACGTGCTATACGGTGTTCCTTGTAAGTCTCGGTACAGTGGCAGCTACTCTGGCCCTAATTCAGACTCTCTTAAGATGTGCCTAACAGTTTCTGAAGACACACGTACATTTCGAGTCTCGGCTAAAGCATGTTGAAGTTGACTCGCAGTCACATGCTTCGACGTAAAGCTGAAGTACTAAAAATCTATTGTCCACATGCGTAGTTGCTCTTGGTCGACCTGATACAGCTCGTCTTTCATAAAGACCAGTCTCTCGGTACCTTACTACCACTCGTGATACTGTCGACTGATTTACACTCACTAAATTTGCCACATACCTCTGACTCCTTCCATCTTCAATGAGGGAAATTATTCTAACCACTTGATCTCTCGTTAAATTTAAATTTATATTGTCGCGACCTTCCATACTCAATATTTAATACGAAATTTTAAATTAAAGGCAAACTGTATACTTTTTACAAAACTAAAATAAACACTGATATATAAAAACCGGACAAAATAGCAATTAACATTTTTTTTCTTAAAACAATAAACTGTATTTACAAATTTCTTCTTCATATTTATTCTAGCCTTAATATTCTTATAGGCCAGAAAGAAATTATTTAAATTAACCAAATGCTGTCAGAAATATTTGTAATTTTATAAGTGATGCAATACTTTTTTGGCAGTGGAGTATAGTAAATAATCACAATTCATTCATACTAACACTAAATATGATGACATTTTATGTAAAACAGTGCAAATTTGATCAAAAATGTCTTCAACACCTTAAACCAGATCCTATAGCAAGGAATGTTCCAAATGAGCCACCTCCTTGGAGCATAACTTTGCCTACACTATTCACAAGCTCTCTTCCTCGAATGCCACCCCTAAAAGGATTTAACATAATCAAATTATTATATTTTTATTATGCCAATACAATATTTACTCACCTAAGAGCCGAGAATCCACCAAACAGTGCCCCACTAGCCATTCCAACACAAAATCCTAGAAAAAATCCCATTTTCATTCTATCAATGCAAGATGGTCCTTGTTGCTGATAAACACCACCCGGTACTGGCATTTTTACAAATAAATTGAAGGGAGATCTCTGAAGAAATTTAAAAATGATTTTTTATATTCGAAAGTGTTTTATTTGTACATGTGATTATTAAAGAAATTAAAGTCCTACTCTAACTTCATAACTATTAAAATATGTCTGCTGTCAATGTCATATGTTTGTTTAATCTTATAATCACAGAACACATATAAAAAGTATGAAAATAAATTTTGAATCCTTTACGTTTTGTTTAGCCAATCATTTACGAAATGTAATTAGTATTTTTTTTTATTTTTAGGCTCTACAATGTTCCAGTACTATTTAAAAATCGTTCCTACGGCTTATGTTAGAAGAGATGGTACCATTATTAGTTCTAACCAATTCTCAGTAACAAAACATCAAAAGGTAGTTTCTATTGTGAGTGGGGAATCGGGTATGCCAGGTATATTTTTCCAGTACGAGCTTTCCCCTTTAATGGTAAAATACTCTGAGAAGGAAAGATCTTTTGGTCATTTCATCACGAATCTCTGTGCAATCATAGGTGGAGTGTACACAGTAGCAGGTCTACTAGATAGATTTTTATATCATTCTATAAAAATTATACAGAAAAAAATTGAATTAGGCAAATTTCATTAAATTTTATAAAAGAAAGTTGTGTTTTTTTAAGCATATAATTCGAATAATCCCCTCAATGGGCATATAGTTAATGTTCTGTGTGTACATAAGTTTAAAAAAAGAAGAGTGAATGACGGATGAGGTTATGTATATATATATTTGAAAGTCAAACTAGAAGTCAAGTGTTTTTAACCCTGAAACATTTAAAAATTAATTTAATATCCTCCATAATAACAATAACAGCAGTTTTAAAAATGGACTTACTAGGATCAATAATGAATTCAATGGATAAACCTCCGAGTTTAAGCGAAAAAGAAAAACAGTTAAAAAAAAGTAAGTACCATCAACCTAATTCAAAATGGAATTTATCTTTATTTCTCTTTTATAGAGAGGAAAGAGGAAATTGAAAGACGCCAAAATGAAGAAAAGGAAAAGTTAAAACGGTTTAAAGACCGAGTAGAAGCAAAACTCTTATCACATTTTAAGGATACTTCCAACCTTACTTTAAAATTTGAACCTATGGACCAAATATGTAGAAGTATAGTGTAAGTTTTATTTCAAATACATACCTAAATTAAAACAATTAATGAATTTATACATATATATTGTAGATGGTAGTTGTAGAAAAGTTATTGTTTTTGGATCTATCCTTAGACCATGTGTTGAGTTTTACTTCAAAATTTTTTATTGAAATTTTTTTATTTGGTTATCAAAATGGCCTAAATTCCCAAAAAATTTTGTTTACTAATCTGTAGAGGTAAATGTGATAATGCTAGTGGTAGTCAAATAAGGACCATGGCCTACTACAAAATAATTATGATAAATTCATGTTAATTATTATGTGAAATGAAAACTTTTTGATTTCACTATATTTTACAAATAATATTTAGAAAATTACTTATTAAAACCTATTTTGATGAATAAATCTATAATATTTAGTTAAATATTGTGTTTATATGATATTAAGCGACAATTGATTGTAATGATAAATACATTTTTATCTACAAAAATTTGATGTTTCGATTTCACTAGAGCTGTGTAGTTCGCGAACGAACTAGTTCAAAAGATCGACTCTCATAACTGAACTAAATGATTCAATCACAAATATTAAAAAGAGCGAATCATATTGAACTAAACGTCACACAACGTAACAGACAGATCGAGAGAGGCAAAGATGGAAAGAGATGTTGATATTTTCAATTGCCGATCTCGATCTTTCAACGATTTAATGCATGTCGCCAACCGTAAACGTTTGTCGAGGTCGAGCCAGTCGAGCTAAATCGAAGCCGATAAATTATATTTAAAGAAAGAGCGTCATAATTTAACCCCACGAGGAAGAGTGAGATGCAAATGATAAACATGTTGTTTGATTTTTATTACTTGATTATTTGAGTTGATGCATTTGATGGATTTAGTTACGAGTTACGACCAACTGACGAAATAGAAGTAAAGGATGCGTTATGGGATCTTTTTCTTTTTCATTTTATAAGAATGAGATGGCGATGGAGATGCGATGGAAGTTAAAGAAAGAGATGCTGAATAATTTATTGTAGTATACTTTTCCATTAAATTTGTTAAAATAAAAACCGTTATTTTATAAAGCGTTGTTTTTGTTTGAATAGGTTTATTTCGACGAAAAACAATGAAAACTTAGACTTTTAGTTTTAACATAATACACGTAAGTGCAAGGTGTTTGAACTGCTTTTATATTTGTATTTGTACAAATTTCTTCTTGTTGATTCGTAGTAATCACTTCTTTAATTTTTATATTTATATTACATTCGTTGGTAATTTAGTAGTTTTTTGTGGTAAGAATGGCTCCTAAAAGAAGTGATATCTGGTTTCATTTTGAAATTTTGAACGACAAATGTAATGCAAAATGTTTGTATTGCAAACAGATTTTGTCGACAAAAAATGGTTCAATGGGTAATTTGAATCGTCACATGAAGACGAAACATCCTACAACTAGTATTTCCAGGAAAGGGGTTACTGGTGCAACAGTATCTTTAGAACAAACCCAGATACAAGAGACAAGTAACAGAGACTATAATTTACCAAGTACGAGTACCGGTGCCGATACGATGTCTGGTGTTAGTGTTTATAGTGAGGATGAGAACATTGAACCTAAACCAAAAAAACTAAAGACTCAATCAGTTTTAACTAACTTTGCTTATAGTAAGAAACCGCTATCGATTTCTAGAAGTAAAGAAATCGACTTACAAATATTACGGTTTATTGTGAAAGGTTACCATTCATTTAAAATTGTAGAAGAAGTAGAATTTAAGAAACTCTTGGAGATGCTGTCCCCTAATTATAATATACCATCAAGGAAAACCATCAGCAACAATTTATTGGAACAACTTCACCAATCAAATCGAGAAAAAATTGAAATTGAATTAACTCAAGTTGAGTTCATTTGTATTACCACAGATAGCTGGACATCCACCAATAATGAGAGCTTTGTTGCAATTACTGCTCACTACATTATCGAAGAGCAGTCTGAATTAAAATTAAGGTCCCATCTGTTGGACTGTTTTGCTTATGAGGAAAAACATACCGCACAAAACTTAGCAAAACTTTTGGCGGATAAATTCAAAGAGTGGAAAATTGAACTGAAAATAGTATGTGTGGTCACTGATAATGCACCTAATGTTCTTGCTGCAGTGCGAGAAGGGGGATGGAACTCACGTGGTTGTTTTGCACATTTAATCAATCTTTTAGTGCGACATGGTTTAAAAACAATAGATCCGACTTTGGAGAAACTAAAATTAATTGTAGCATTCTTTAAGAAAAGTTCTGCAGCATTAGCAAAATTAACTAAAGCACAAGTTCAGATGGGATTGCCTGAACTTAAAATTAAGCAGGATGTACGAACACGTTGGAATTCAACGCTTGACATGGTCAATCGGGCATGCCAAATTAAAGATGCCATAATTTCCACGTTAGCGCTAGAATGTCCTAACATAAATAACATAACTGGCCATGAATGGTCAGTATTGGAACAATTAATAGATGTCCTACAGATTTTTAAAGAAATCACTGATGAAATCAGCTCAGAAAAAAATGTGACTTCTTCAAAAATACTTATTTTTGTTCGTGCCATATATGAACACCTAAGATGTTTAAAAAATAATACTGATTTGGAAGAAGAAGTAAAGCAAGTTGTTGCAGATATGCTGAAACAATTTTTTGATCGCTTTGGTGATATTGAGAATAATGCCATTTTAGCTGAATCAACGATTTTAGATCCTCGATTTAAAAAGTATGGATTCAAAGAGGAGAGCAAATATTTAAATGCTGTAATTAATTTGCGAAGAAAAGTAAGTATAATTTATAATAATAAAACAAAACTACAAGCAATACCAGAGGCTGATGTACCATCTTCATCAACAGCGATAAAAAAACCAACATTATGGTCCAATTTTGACCAAAATGTTGGTAATTTATTGCATGAAAAAAATTCGACATCTGCTGCTATTATAGAATTAGATAGGTATTTGAGTGAGCCACTTATAAAGAGAAATGAAGATCCTTTAGCTTGGTGGATGACCCGAAAACATGTGTATCCAACATTATTTAATTATGTCAAAAAAAGACTATGTATTCAGGCTACATCAGTTCCATGTGAACGTATTTTCTCAAAAGCAGGACTAACACTAACCCAAAAACGTTCTGCTTTAAAAAGTTCAAGAGTTAGCAAAATATTATTTTTAAACTCAAATTTGTAAATCATTACTTTTTTATTTTATGTATTTACAAATATGCTTTAAACATTGTGGAATAGTTTAGGATTTGTTCTGTATCCAAAACTAGAATATTCTATTATCTAGGAGTAATTTAAAAAAGAAATTAGTTATTGAAACTTAAGTAATTACAAACAGTTTAAGGTATTTAAACATAATTTGTAAATGTTTGTAAGTGTTTAATAGTTGCAATGATCATATACATAGAATATTTATTAAATTCAATAGAATTTGACATGATATATAGATGTAATTTCAATAAATTAGTATCTACAAATATGCTTTAAACATTGTGGAATAGTTTAGGATTTGTTAAAGTTCTGTATCCAAAACTAGAATATTTTATTATCTAGGAGTAATTTAAAAAAGAAAATAGTTATTGAAATTTAAGTAACTACAAACAGTTTAAGGTATTTAAACATAATTTGTAAATGTTTGTAAGTGTTTAATAGTTGCAATGATCATATACGTAGAATATTTATTAAATTCAATAGAATTTGACATGATATATAGATGTAATTTCAATAAATTTGTATTTACAAATATGCTTTAAACATTGTGGAATAGTTTAGGATTTGTTAAAGTTCTGTATCCAAAACTAGAATATTTTATTATCTAGGAGTAATTTAAAAAAGAAAATAGTTATTGAAATTTAAGTAACTAAAAACAGTTTAAGGTATTTAAACATAATTTGTAAATGTTTGTAAGTGTTTAATAGTTGCAATGATCATATACGTAGAATATTTATTAAATTCAATAGAATTTGACATGATATATAGATGTAATTTCAATAAATTTGTATTTACAAATATGCTTTAAAACATTGTGGAATAGTTTAGGATTTGTTAAAGTTCTGTATCCAAAACTAGAATATTTTATTATCTAGGAGTAATTTAAAAAGAAAATAGTTATTGAAACTTAAGTAATTACAAACAGTTTAAGGTATTTAAACATAATTTGTAAATGTTTGTAAGTGTTTAATAGTTGCAATGATCATATACATAGAATATTTATTAAATTCAATAGAATTTGACATGATATATAGATGTAATTTCAATAAATTAGTATCTACAAATATGCTTTAAACATTGTGGAATAGTTTAGGATTTGTTAAAGTTCTGTATCCAAAACTAGAATATTTTATTATCTAGGAGTAATTTAAAAAAGAAAATAGTTATTGAAATTTAAGTAACTACAAACAGTTTAAGGTATTTAAACATAATTGTAAAGTTTGTAAGTGTTTAATAGTTGCAATGATCATATACGTAGAATATTTATTAAATTC